TGCCTCTTTCTCTCAGTCCCTCCGGAGGGGACTGCTTGACTTCTATTCCAGGGCAACTGTTATTTCAGGGAGCCAGGGGAACAGAGAGGAGAGAATGAATGAAGAAGAAGGCAGGCTGGGCCCAGCTGAGCTTGGGGATCCCTGGCTCCATTCCCCTGAGGATAGGGGAGGAAATGGTCTATTTCTCTTCCCCTTCTTCCCTCCCCAAATCCAGAGATTTCCCTTTTTTGGTTTGTGAAATGCAAGAAGGGAATTTGGGAAAGGGTTGTGGTCAGGCCTCCACCCACACCCCGAATATCCGTCTCCCACATCCCTCTCCTCTGTCTGGGGGAAGCAGACCCTGGAAAATGGGTAATGTTTCCTCCCTGCCCTGTCCACAGAGGTGAGCAGGAGAGGACCAAACTGCTGAGGCCCTGGGTGGGTGATAGTGAAAGGCACAGGGAGGGAGGGCCTAGGTGCCCAGTTCTCCCCCTGCACCAGGCTTCTGCTAGGTGCTTTCCAGGGCTTCATCTCTTAAATCCCACAACCAGCTGTTGAGGTAGGCAGTTCACAGGCTAGAAAACAAATGCTTAGAGAGGTTAAGTGACTTGCCTAAGGTCGCCCAGAGTGGCAGAGCTGAGATTTGACCTCTGTTTTTTCCTGTCATTTTTATGGTTCAGTCAACTCTTACCTTTTTCCTCTAGTGTGTGTGACTCTAGGGTGTGATCCTGGCACCTTTTAGAGGTGAAAGAGGCCCCAGCAAACAGGGGCACATGGCTAGTGATAGGCATTCTCGCCCCCACCCTTTTCTGTTGGGCTCAGTATATTGGAGTTGTGGGTCTGTGGTTTTCTCTCTCTCTAGGGAGGGTGTCGTGGGCAGTGGAGGTGGCTGGCATAGGGTGGGGGTTGGATGTGGGTAGTTTGTTTTCCCTCTCTTTGGTGATGGTTTCGATTCTCTGATGGGGCCTTCTCTACCCCTGTGTACAGGGTGCTGGGGCCCAGGCCCCTCCATGAGGGTCATGGCTCCTAAGGGACTTCTGAGGCGGGGCCTGTGCCCTTTCAGTCCCATCCACCATCATCCCTGTCCTTGCCCATCCCTGTTCCTTGGTTAGCCTGGCCCTTGGCCCATTTCTATGACCTTTGCCCCCTCATTTGGTTCTGGGTCCTCCCTTCCCAGGGAGTTGAGCAGCTTTGTACTGAAGTCTGCTGCAGGCTGAGCTGGGTTAGGCTATTGGAGGTTCTGGTAGGGGGCAGGGAAGGACTTTCAAGCCTGTCCCTGGGGTGTTTGTCTGGAGGGGGAATCTTGAAACCTGATCCACTTTCAAAGTCTTCAGGATCAGAATTGAGGTGTTCATTCTAAGGTGACTGTAGTTACCTCTTTTCTGGGAGCAAGGCTGAGCTCCAGAAAGTGCCCAGCTGGGCTCCAAACAGTCCAGGCTGGGTGTCTCCCAAACCCCCAAAGCCTGGGGTCTGGAGTGAATGGCTTTCTGGGCCTCAGCCTTGGCTTAGGAGGCCTCACTTTGGGTCAGCTGCTCCCTGGGCTTCACCTCTAGGGAAGCAGGCTCTGGATGTGAATCCATTTAGTCTGGATCCTGGTTGTGCATGGGGAGGCGATGTACATGGGCTCGGCTCACAGGGAGGACTTTGGAGCATTTCTTGGCAGAAGAGGTAGACAGAAGGGCCAACCTGGCTGTGTGAGGGCCAGGGAATATGCACTTTGGGAAACTGTGGGACTATGGTTGTGTGTCTTCTGGGAGTGTGTACAGGGGCCCATGCAAATTCTGAACTGTGTTCACTACATGGTGGAGCCCAGGTGTGAGATGGTATCTCCAGGTTCCCTCTCCTCACGTGCATGCCTGCACACACAGGCTGGGGTTGCAAGCATGCTCTTGCCCACCTTCATGCTTTCTATAGACCTGCATGGTGTGAGTTTCTGCAAGTGCATGGTGTATGTGTGTGAGGGTCCAACTATAGACACTGATGAGGTTTGGCCAGCCCCTCCTTTGCTTGCCTGGCTCCCCCAGCTCAAGTTCCCTTTGTGTGGGGTCCCACTGGAATAGGGGGTGGCGGGGGAGGGTGGCAGCTGGTAACTGGTCCAGTGGGTGGGGCCCCTTTTCCTCTGACTTTAGCTTTTTCTGCCTGGGAGGGAATCAGCAGGGCCTGGGAAGGGAAGAGGGCACCTCATTCTGGAGTGAGAGTGAAGAGAGAGGCCTTGTGCTTGTCATAATAAGTAACAATAAAAAATCACGGTCATTAACAAAATCCAGATTTTACTCCAGAGGCAGCTGCTTCCTTCTTAGCCAGTACCTGTGCCTTCCCTTAATCTCTCCATCAGTCTGACACAGGCTGGCTGGCTGGTCCAGCTGGGCTCAGAAGTCTTGGCCTCTTCCATAGTGGCCTTGGCAGAAAATCCCCCATCCCAGTCCTGGTCTCCAGCCAAATGCTGGCCATGTACGTGTCCTCTGGTCTCTGGGTTTGAGCCTAGGGCTTGGAGCTTGGAACCTGGTATATCCTAAGCTCAGTGGGTGAGGATGGAGGATGTTAGAAAGGGTCAGTCCTTATTTTGGGTCTCTGTAGCCCTTTTTCTTTTCTTTTAACAGCTTTATTGAGACGTAATTCACAAACCATAAAATTCACCCATTAAAGTATATCATTCAGTGGCTCTAGTTTATTCACACCGTTGTGCAACTGCCACAACACTTTTTTTTTTTTAATGTTTTTTAGTTGTAGAGGGACACAATAGTTATTTATTTATTTACTTACGTTTGTGTGGTGCTGAGGATTGAACCTAATGCCACACACTTGCGAGCAGGCACTCTGCCACTGAGCCGCAATTCCAGCCCCACAATCACTTTTATAGCATTTTCTTTTTCTTCTTTTTTTTTTTTGGTACTGGGGATTGAACCCAGGAGTGCTTTACTCCTGAGCTATATCCCTAGTCCCTTTTTTTTATTTGATATGGGATCTGGCTAAGTTGCTGATGCTGTCCTCAAATTGTGATCCTCCTGCTTCAGCCTCACAAGTCATTGAGATTACAGGCATATACCACCAAGCCCTGAACCTTAATAACATTTTTTTAATATTTATTTTTTTTAGCTTTAGGTGGGTACAATATCTTTATTTTTATTTGGTACTGAGTATTAAACCCAATGCCTCATGCACAGTAGGCAAGCACTCTACCACTGAGCCACAACCCCAGCGCTTTAATAGCACTTTTATCACTCCAAAAAGAGCCCCTGTACCCATCAGCAGTTACTTCCCATTTCTCTCATATCCACACCCTGGTAACCACAAGTCTACTTTCTGCCTGTATAGCTTTGTCACTCCTGGATATTTCATATAAATTGAATCATACAATAGATAGTCTTTTGTAATTATCATATTGTTTTCAAGGTTTACCCAGGTTATAGTGTGTGTTAGTACTTCATTTCTTTTTTTGGCAGAATAGTAGTCTCCTGTGGATAGTTGACATTTTATTTATCCATTTATCAGCTGATGGACATTTGAGTTGGTTCTACTTTTTGGCTATTATGAACAATGCTGCTCTGAACATTTATGTACAAGTCTTTTTGTGGACTTATATCTCTTGGGTAGATACCTAGGAGTGGATTTGGTGGGTCATATCTACTTGTGTTTAACCTTTTGAGGAATTACCAAAGCAGCTATACTATTTACATTCCCACCAGCCTTGTATGAGGATTCCAATTTCTCCATATCCTCAACTATACTTGTTATTTTCTGTCTTCTTTATTATAGCCATCCTGTGATGTGTGCATACCTTGCATACCTTTCTTCTTCTTCTTTTTTTTTTTTTTTTTTTTTTTTTTTTGGTGCTGGGGATTAAACCCAGGGCCTTGTGCATGCAAGGGAAGCACTCTACCAACTGATCTATATCCCCAGCCCATCCTTTATTATTCTTGAGATAGTACCTGGTGGAAGAGGAAGGGAAAGAAGCAAGACTGGGCAGAGTTTCTTGTGGTTTTGATTGGCTGTGATTTATTTTTACACACATATACACTATATATATATATATATATATATATATGATTTGTTATTTGTAACCCATAATCCAAATGAATTTAAAATATCCTGTTGTGGATCTGTTTCTCATTTTTCTTCTCTCTGCTTTGTGCTGCCTGTCTCACTGTCATAGAATCTCTGGGTTCACCACTGCCTATCTACTCCTTGTGTATCCTCTGCTCCTAGCTGTTGAAACAGGGTGTGGATCTGTGTACACACTGCTAAGGGGGTCATCTAGCCTTTTATCTTTGGCCTATCTCCCACCCCATTCCTCGGTGTGTTGCTTCTGCAGGACAAAAGTGTTGTGGTGAACTCCGAGATCAACCTCTCTTGCCCCTTCATTGCTGGAGGTGGGAGACTTTCCACCCTGGGCAGTCCTGGCCTTCTTGACACATTGCCCATCCCCCCCACTCCCGACCATCATGCTCTTAGGCATTGGAAGTGATACCTTTGATTTCCATTTTCCCCTCTGTGTGTATGTAAATGGGCCTTGTCCCCAGGCCTGTGGGACCAACCCATCTGGGGTGCTGGGAATTAGATTTGGGGTGGGAAGTGGTGTAAGAGGGGCCTCTTGGCTTAGGAGTCATTTTTCTGAGAAGTGCCAATGCTTTAGGGAAGCGGCTTTTTCTCCACTCCTCCCCCAATGCACGTTCTTTGCATCTTGACCTCAGGTAACCCACACTGAGGAAGGAGAGCCAGCTGCCTGCCTATGCTGCATTGATATTTTGAGGTGGCACTGTGGACCCTTTCCCTGAGGATTCTGGGTGAGAGGCCCTCTGATACTCTGGGCTATGTCCCCAGCCTGGCTCTGCTATCCTGCCACTCCCAGCAGTGCCTGGGCCCTGCTCCCAGGCTGGCTTTGCCAGCCAGGCATGGTGCCAGCTGTCTGCTCAGCTGGGTGCCACAGGAAAATCTCTGGTCACCCAGGTTAGGGAGCTCCACGGGGAATCCCATGTGCCTTCTCCTCAGTGCCCACTCACCTGTCTTTTCTCCTTTTGCAGCACCACAGGACATGGCCCCCCCAACTGCCTAGCTGGGGTCCATCTAGGAGTGGCATCTCTTTTGGTGCCCTGAAGGCCAGCTCTGAACCTTCCCAGGAAAGTGACAGCTCACAGAACTGCTTCGCCAAAGGACCAGCTCTTGGAATATTCCCCAACCCACCTGGCCCCCCAGCTAGGGTGGGGGCTCCAGAAGGCTGAGATTGGTTTGTTGACGTTGGACAGCAGCTCCAGGACAGAAGAGGGGGGTGGGCTGACCACCCAAACCCCCTCTGGGCCCAGGCCCCATGCCTCGAGGAGGGGCAGCCTGAAGCCCGCCACAGCTCCCTGCCAGACTATCTGCCTGCCCTTCTGACTGTGGTCGCTTGGCATGGCCAGCAACAGCAGCTCCTGCCCAACACCTGGGGGTGGGCACCTCAATGGGTACCCGGTGCCTCCCTATGCCTTCTTCTTCCCTCCTATGCTGGGTGGACTCTCCCCACCAGGCCCTCTGACCACTCTCCAGCACCAGCTTCCAGTTAGTGGATACAGCACACCATCCCCAGCCAGTAAGTCTGGGTGTCGGGGGAGGCTTTGTGGGAGGGAGATGTGGAGGGCAGCAGGCTCAGGGCTTGGGCTCTTGGCACATCTATTCTGCTGGGAGCATAATGAGTGGCAAGGTCTTTTCCAGACCAGTGGGATTGTGGTGTGGGGAGCTCAAGGATGAAAGTCCCACTGCCTGTAGGCTTGTTTGCAGTGTTTGATATTGAGGGTGGCAGAGAGATGAACCATGCTGTTCCCAGCTCCGTGGAATCCCTTGTGTCCCTCTCCTGTGCTCTGCCATTGAGGGCCTTTATAAATAGTTCCAAGGACTGGACACAGAGGCTGGAGGTGAATAAACAAACCTCTCAACATTTGGTGGAAATGGCAGCTCTGTGGAGAGCTAGAGAGCTGTCCCTCACCTACGTGCCCCCATCCACTACTCTGAGGGAAAGGGCTTCTAAGTAAAGGTAGGTGGCTAGAGTCCTCTGCTCTACCCCACTAGCACCCCCCACTAGCACCCCGTTTCTTTTTGTGGAGAGTGAGAGAGGGACTGGCAGTTGAGCCTGGTGGACAGGGTTAAGTATCCCAGGAGAGGGCGCTCGGATTGGACTCTGGCTTAGACACATGCATGGTCTTGGCAGGGCCTGTGTTTTCTGCCTCCACCCTTTGCCGTAATGGTCACCCATTGGCTGGGTGGGGGTCTCAGTACTCTTCCCTGGCTGGCCAAGCCAGGTAGTGGGAGGTGGCGGCAGCTATGGCCAGCTGGCAGAGTCCAGGCCTGAGGCCTGCCAGGCCGCTTACAGTAACTCTGGCCCCCAGGGCCCAGCTGGGCGCCAGGCCAGGGTTGGGGAGGAGGGAGCCAGGCCTGGCCTGGGGCAGGAGTGGGTGGAAGCAGCAGAATAGGCCATGGACGGCTGGCTGGCTGGTCAGCTGCTGACCTGGGAAATGTGTCCCACCTCTCCTGGCCGTCAGGGACTGAACACCCTGCCCTGGGTACCCACGGCCCCTCCCACAGCTATTGGCAAGCTGCCTGGCACCACTGCCCTATGTGCCTGGCTGGGCTGGGTTAGTGTCCCCTTCTCCATGTGGGGGCAGAACTCTCTCCCCGGAGCCAGGGAGTCTCTTTGTCCCTGGGGCAGGCCCTGGCTGGGCACCTCACTGCCCACACTGGCCGTCGGCCCACTGCCACCACTGCTTCCTGGATGGCCTCCTCTGGCTCCACCACAGCCCCCTCCCTCCAGGCCCCACCAGCCACCAGGAATAGGGACTCTATATCTGTGCTCCTCTAAAAGTTCCCTGTACTTTGTGCCCTGGGGCTAGGGGACAGACAGGTGCTGCCTCAGTTTCTTTTTGCTAACCCTTTCTGAAAGCTTCATCTTCTGTTTCTGCTCCTTCTTCTGTCTACCTCATAGAAGGGTGAGGCAGATGGAGTCTGGGAACCCCAATTCTGGTCTGGTCTTTTAGTTTGTGTTGGTGACAGGAGAAGGACAGTCTCTGGGGTTCAGGGTTGCTGGGGATTGGATGGGTGCATCTATGTGGAATATTTGCTACATTTGAAGGGAGCAATAGTCCAATCTCAGGTCATTGCAGCTGGAAGAACATCCGCTTCTTGTCATGGTGGGATTTTTAAGGAGTAGAGGAGTTGGGATCCTGCAACCTGGTGCCTGTGGATAGCTTTTCCTTCCCCAGGTGATGGGAACATAGCCCTACCTGGGGCCTATATTCACTGGAGAGTTGGAGGTGGGGGCTAGGGCCTGGTCCTTGTCCTTGCCCATTCTCTGCCAGACAGAGCAAATGCTTTGCCCTCCCCTGAGTGTTGCAAGCTTCTTCCTCTTTCTTAGAGGTGGGTGGGGAGGGATTCCTACCCCGGTAACCTTCTACCCCCAGGGTGGGGTACCCACATTTCGGGCAAATGTGGCCTCCTTTGGCTTTCTCCACCCAAGTTAAGCAATGCCCCCTTCCTGTCTCCTCCTCTGTGAGCCTGTTAGTTTCCCAGCTCCTCCCCCACTCCTAGTAAACAACAACAATTTCTCTTCCTATTTAGACCCCCAGCTTCTGAGCTTCCTTTTCTGAGGTCAGAGGCATGGCTTTGGGTTTGAAGGCATCTCTTTCCTTCTCATGTAGGGGTGGAGGAGCCTGGTGATCAGAGCTCTTCAGCTCTCGGTAGGGAAGCAGGACTGATAAAGATGTCACATGTCTGTCTTGGAGATGGAGGCAGCTTAGCTTGCCCCTTGGGGCTGACGATGGGGATCAGGCTGTTCTGGGAGAGATGAGATTGGTGGCCTTCCATTCCTGAAGTGAGCAATGGTGTACTCTGGTCCTCTTAGGAAAACTCACTGAGGATGCTGCCTTTTCTTGTTCCCCACTGAGCAAAGGTGTTGGGATGGTTCCTCCAACCCCTTTCAGCTCTCTACCCAGGTGGGGTGGAGGCAGCACCTTAGGTGTTCTGGGTGTGGCCTTCAGAAACCAAGTGGCCTGTGGAAAGACAGAACTCCTCTCTGGGTCACTGCGGGGAGAGGTGGGCATTATCCTAATGCCTGCTGCATCCTCCCAGGGAGCCAGGTGGGAGGCCCCCAAGAGAGTATGAGACCTTCCTCTCCACTTTGTGCTTGGCCTCTGAGGACTGGTGTTTACTGTGGAGGTTTGGGATGCTGTGTGCATTATGGAGGGTTTTAGGGGTGAAGGTCAAGGTTGATTTTTTGTGTTAAGAAGGAAATTAAGGGGCTGAGGATATAGCTCAGTTGGTAGAGTGCTTGCCTTTCATGCACAAGGCCATGGGTTCGATCCCCAGCACCAAAAAACAAACAAGAAGGGAATTAATGGCTAGTGTGTATTTGGTGAGAGAGTTCCAGAGTTGAGTGTGTTTTGGAAGAATCAAATCCAGTGCTCCAGAGGGGGTGTTGGCTAGCTTGTTTATATGCCAGGGCTCAGGGCGGGACATGATTTATGGCATAGCTTGTGTGTTTAAGGGGGAAGTGATCTTTCGACTGTTGTGTTTGGGAGGAGAGGGTCTCTCTTTCTTATGCTTGTGTCATGGCTCTGTTCAGCTGAAAGGGAGAACTAATCTTCCTTTTTTGTTGCTTACCCCGGGAATTCCATGGGCCAAGGGGTCTGACTGGGGGCCATGGAGTGGGCATTGGAGCTTGCCAGTCAAAACTTGGACATACTATGTGTGATTACCTTTCAGAACATGTTTCCTCATTTATAAAACAGGGATATTACCAGAACCTACCTCAGAGGACTGAGTTATGCAAGATTGTCAAGGTATTGTATTCAGCTGTGTGTGGCACATGACCCTGTGCCATTGGACCTTCGTTGTTTGTAGGTGGGAGCTGGAGAGAAATGGAGGCTATGGAGTACCTGCTGTGGGTCAGGAACTTTATCTGGGTTTTACAAATCTTAATCCCTACAATTTTGGGAGAGGGAACTTACTCCCATTTACACAAGTTAAAACTTAAGGTATGGCAGAACCCAATCTGGAGGACTGTAAAGCCGGGCTGTTTCCCACCATACAGATAGGCAGGTGTGGGGGAGACACTTCCTGGGTGGAGAGCCTGGAGGGAATTCTGTGCCAATGTTGACACTCCCTCCTGTTGTCCTATTGCTGAGGCCCTGTCTCTGCTTTAGCTTTCCTGCCTCACCCCACCCCAGGGGGTGCAAGGAAGGCACCAAGCCACACCCCCTCTTCTCTGTTTTGGATTCTGAAGGCTGGAGGAAAGGGGAGATAAGATGCCAGCCGATCTCCATCCTGTCCTGGAAGTTGTGGCTACAATCTGTTCACACCCATCCCCACCTCCAGTCTGCCCGCTGCAGCCCACAAGAGTTTGCAGAGCTCAGTGGGTACCCTCCCCCCATCTTCAGACAGACACTGAAGGAACAGCATGTAAAAGCCACAGTTCCTATTATTCTTATTTTGTTTCAATTTGTGGGGTGGGTGCAGGGAAGTTCAAAGCAGTCAACAGAGGAGCCAGGGATGGGAGCCTGAAAGCGTGGCTCCAGATTTTCCATCTAGGAGTTTGCTGTGTGTCCAGAGACTGGGGAGTGTCCCCAGGGTTTGGGTGAGCCTGGACCTGAGGCACAGTGGAGGGAGCTATGCCTTCCTCTTTTCTACTTCCTCTCCTTTGCAGTCTGTACATCCTCCCTCCCTTCTTCCCACTCTCAGACCAGGGGGAGGGGATGCTGCCTAGCAATGCCTTTTCTGGGGGTCCAAAATGCAGAGTCAACTGAGAGCCCTTGGGAGAGGGAGTTGTCTGAATGAAAATGGGATCCCTCACCTTTAATCTTCCAGCATGGATAAAGCACAGGCTCTCTCAGTGCAGGCCCTTCATAGAATGGCAGTAGAGGCTCGTGGAAGGAAGCCTCTCTTTCTCTTAGGGGAGTCAGGTTCTGAGGCATTGTGTCCACCTCATGCCAAGGGATATGTGCCCATGTGGATGTGCTAGTACAGGACCTGACAGCCCTGTGAGGGGTAATATCTGTGGAAAGAGGAAGTGGTACCTTCTCCAAGTCATGCTGGGGTGGTACCTTCTTCTCCTCCATGGCCAGGATAGACTGGAGGTCATTCAGCTCTGGCTATATCAAATAGAGGTCTTCCTCTTCCTGAAGGTGACCTGACACCCCTCTACCCTTATCTTCCCCCAAGGGCAGAAGTCCTAAAATATAGTTCTTCCTGTGTGGCCTTGGGCAGGTCACCTAACCTCTCTCTGAGTCTGTTTTGTCCTTCTTGAAGAAAGACTCCTAGTTTGTCCCTGGCTGGACTAGTTGCTGTGAGGCTACAATGACCCACTTGCTGGTGATAGCTTCTGTGAGTTTCAAATACCTTCAAGAACAGTGATAACAAGGGGCAGGGTGGAGCTGGGCATTGTCTTGGGAGATGGCCACCCTGTATTCAGATCTGGCATCAGGCCTCATGATCTGTTTAATGTCCCCTCTAGTTGAAGGTGGGGACAGAAGGGAAGACACACTGCTTAGCACAAGTGGGAGCTGGTTCAGCCCACTCTTGCTCTGGGTTTGCTAAGCACAAAGC